ATAGTTATAATGATATAATGAGATTTTAAATATGTGAAATAAAAATAATTTACTAGTCATGCAATATATAAAATATAATGAATGTAAAATAAACAAGTATTACAATACACATAAGTTCAATTTAAGTTAACCGCAGTACATTTTTTTATTATAATTTTTGATATTTTATTGGAATTGAACAAACTCTTTATTATGCACCATGGAATGGTTTAACGCAATATGGAATGCTTTTTTTTAATATTGGTAAGCTTTAATAAAGAATCAATAGTCACAAAAATCAAGGTTATTTGGACAGTTAACAGTTTTCATGCAATTGTAATCATGCATTACAATGTATTTGTATTTTCCTGAACGAAGGCTGATAAAAGTGAATCATTATAATATTAATTTAAAAATGTTCCATCATCGAAGAGCTGAAAATAAACTTAAGGATTTAAATCAATAAATCCAGCCTAAACGGAGGGTTCGCGAACACAATAAGTTTCCACATCACTCATATTCCGAATCTGATTAAATAAGTATTTACAAGTATACCAATAAATATATCAACAAGTAATGTAATTTTGTCTCCTAGAAAGGAAAAATAGAAAGGTTAATTGCACTATAAACGGTGTGCATACATTAGAGAAAATCAAACAATGTTACTGTGCTTATTCCAGTTTGTTTTGCTCCTGTTTTAAATATGTATTATTGAATATATAATAATAATATAATAGATTCGGGATCCATTCAAACTCAAACTCCACGGCGGCGCCCCCCACACAAGAACAAGCCTCTACCACCAACGATCCTCCAAACCTGGAAACAAAAAAGGTCCCATTCCCTCATTAAATTCTATTCTTACACGACGTTAATAAAAAAATAATAAGATTCTCTTCAATTGGTCGCGTCATGTTCACTCCGGCCGCGGCCCAAGACCGGACTTTTCTTTTTCTAGTCACTTTGTGCACCAAAGCAATGCACATAATAAACAAAAGATCAGCGCTGTTCAAGTCGAATTATCGCGCCCGGGACACAAAACAATTTCGTTCGAAAAAACTTTTTTTTTTGCAAGCGTACCAATCACACACGTATAAACGTCCGGGAGGCAGAGTGACAGCGCTAATCATAAAAGAAACAGCGTAAGATTAAATTAAAATCACTTACCATAATTCCTCGTAATCCAAATAGTCCAGTAAACGTATCTTACCCTAGATACTCAATTCGCTTCCATTCCATACATTCATTCTCACGTTTTTCACTTTCACATACAGAAAACTCGCAGTCACACAATCACACAGAATGCCTTTTATCTGTATTCCTAAGCTCCAGCCTAGGGTTCCACTGAGAGTGTTCTCTTTGTCTGCTACACGTATTTCCCCTCTCTCTCTCTCTCGTTATCTCGGCCCTCTCCGCTCCAGAATCTCTACGCAGCGCAAGCACCGCTAGAACCATTCGAACACTGCTAGGCGTGTGTACGTTCGTAGAAATTGATTCGCTTTTCTCGCTCTTTTTTTTTGCTCTCATTTTTACCACTGCACACGCCAAATAACAGCGCCTTCCAAGTAACCATGAATCAATCACACTACCACTGTGAGCATATTTTTCTTTTCTGTGTTATTCTTACTATTTCGACCCTCCTCGCACTACGGAAACTTCTTGGCCTGAGCACTCTTTTCTGTATTGGTGGAAACGATTTTTTTTTCGTTCATTCGCTTCCTCCACACTTCACTTGCTGTAGATTTACACTCTCTATTCGTGTGTGTGTGCGTATGAACGTTGTAATCACTCACTCCGTTTTTTCCTATTTTCCCCTCCTTTGAGAGAATTCTATCGCCGTCAAAATGGCGCCCGAAAAATTTAGAAAATTTCACCAATTTGTAGCAAAATAAACACTTCACAGGTTATCCACTGCTACCTTCTTCCGTCAAGAAGGAAATTTTGCCTCCCTACATATTTTTTGAGCCACTGGGTGGCACCAGCCAGAGACCTCACAAAAAAGAAAAAAAAACGTGCATAATTACGCTCGTTTCCGCACTGTGCAACACTTTTATTATTCCAATTACTGGCCTTGAATTAAATTTCTTCCTCGCTGTGATAGCACGACACTTCCACTTCTTCTGCATATAAGATTTTGCCAATTTTCACCAAATAGCACTGTTTTCACTTGATTGAACCCGCCGAAATCGTAATGTTCAAGAAACATTTCCCGATGCGTTCGCGTTGCTCGACTACCAGACACCGAATGAGAAAATTAAAGATTAATCCACCTAAAAGTGAGATGCATAATTTATTTTTTTAATATGATAAGATACAAAATAATTGTGTACGGCAAAGCTGTACTGTGAACAACTTTGCTAAAGACTATAACTTTCTAGCTCTTATAACTGCTGAGATATAAAGGTTATATTGTAGAGACTTCGTTAAAATCAGTTTTGTATCTGTAACTTTTTCTATAATATTTCTACATGTTTGGCATGATCCACAAAGATGTTAGAAATAGCAAATTAGATATCTTTTCAGAATACTGCAAATTGCTATCATTAATATTTGAAAAGTTAGTTACATTTTTTGGTTGAAAATTACCCAATTTCCAATACCAATAACTTCTAAACGGGCAAAAACGAGCAGGCCATTCTTTGAGCAATTGAAAGTACAAGAAAATGCAATGAAATGGTGAAAAAACCAGACCGCCCCCACTTGACCCTTAACCGAAATACTTGCATTGAAACTTGTCACTTTTCAGAATTTGAAATGGCGATTTTGTGAAACCACGGAACTGTTATCGAGTAGGTGTGAAAAGAGGCATACAAATGGATAACCAAGCAACCTGGGTTATTTCTAGTGACTAACAAAATGCCTCGGGATCAAAACGTCAAACGAAATTAACTGCGAGAGGTTCGAAAGCTACGGAATAGAAACGGCTCGGAAACTAGTCGATCTATATCCATGGTACTATCTTCCCATGTCTGTTCATAAAGTGCTCATACACGGGGCGAAAGTGATTTCTTCGTTTCTAATACCCATTGGGCAACTGTCTGAAGAGGCCCAGGAAAGCAGAAACAACGATACCAAGCAATACAGAATCTACCACACGAGAAAGTTTCCAGAGAAGCTACGAATGCAGATCTTCTTCATCGTCTTCTGGAATCCTCCGATCCGTTAATTTCCAACATGAAGGAACTACCGAAAAACACAAGTGACGTGTGCTCCGGGGATGCTTTGCAACTTTTGGCCATCAAAGATGACAACGGCGAGAACAGGAAACTGCAAGCGCTCTTTGAGATTCGTACAATTTGAATCGGAACGTAATGAACATTAAACATAAATGATTTTGGTTTGTTTATTGACAAAATCGAAAAATATTTAAAGTACATAAGCAATTCAGTCAAAGGTCGTTTGGGGGTGGTCTGGTTTTGATCCCGAGTCATTTTGTTAGTCATTAGAAATAAATCAGGTTGCTTGGTTATCCATTTGTATGCTTATTTTCACACCTACTCGATAGCAGTCCCGTGGTTTCACAAAAACGTCATTTCCAATTCTGGAAAGTGACAAGTTTTAATGCAAGTATTTTGGTTAAGGGTCAAGTGGGGGCGGTCTGGTTTCTTCACCATTTTATTGCATTTTCTTGTACTTTCAATTGCTCAAAGAATGGCCTGCTCGTTTTTGCCCGTTTAGGAGCTATTGGTATTGGAAGTTGGGTAATTTTCAACCAAAAAATGTAAATAACTTTTCAAATATTGATGATAACAATTTGCAGTCTTGTGAAAAGATATGTAATTTGATATTTCTAACATATTTGTACAACATGCCAGACATGAAGAAATATTGTAGAAAAAGTTACAGATACAAAACTGATTTTAAAGATGTCTCCACAAAAAAGCCTTTATATCTCAGCAGTTATAAGAGCTAGAAAGTTATAGTCTTCAGTAAAGTTGTTCACAGTAATGTTCTCTACAGCTTTTCCCAGAACAATTATTTTGTATTTTATTATATTGAAAAAATAAATTTTGCATCTCACTTTTAGGTGGATTAATCTTTAATTTTCTTTTACCATAAGAAGGAGTGTTGTAACTCGAGAAACTTCTCAGAAGACACCTAGTACCTTTAATCAACCATTTCAGCGTAAATAAAAAAGCGCGTGTTTTGATACCCTTGGAACCACTGTGCAACGGGATGGCCATTCAGAAAGGTTCAACGGATGTGAAACGAGGGAACGTTTAAATTCAATTTATTTCAATGCAGCATTCAATTTTTGGATTAATAATCAACACATTTTTCACTATGTTATCTTAATTAATTAATGGGAGCATTTCACTTGTATTTTATACAAATAATATCAATGTTCCGTCATATTGTATCATCAAGTGATATTCGCAAGCGTCACATTTCATTCAGGCTCTTTTTAACTACAAGTAGTGAAATATGAAATGCACTTTTTTAAGTGAAGTGCACATAACAATGATCAGTGTCATCACCAACTTGGCAGAACGCTCCCTAACCCTCACTGAGCCAAAGGGCAGGGTTTGGGTCGAAGTAGCTCTCTTAGGTCACTTATCTTTGATCCATCATATCCAGAGTCTTGAATATTTCTCTACGCCTAATTTTATTCCAAATACTAGGATTTAAAACAATCAAAGCGTGATACATCTAAAACGAAACACAGCTTCAAAGCCTGACATCTCTAAAACAAATTCCATGCAGCAGAATCTGGCACAATACCTTTTTCATGCTCAACATTTTGAAAATCTTCTCAAGTCTCGAGAATCTTTATGATTTTTCTTTGCCTGAGAAACATTGCTATATCTCCATTATTCCATCTCATGATTTGCAAAACTTATTTCCAAAACTTGAAGTCGCCCAGTAGCATTTCTGGTTTTCAAAATTTCAAATAGTATTGAAAGTTAATAATCATTACGACGATTTGCGAGCTTTTCGCGAGTCTGATAGATAAACAATATCCGTGCTTGTTCAAATATCGCCGCCTTTGCACTAATCGTCTTCGCATTATGATTTCACAGATCCTGGAAACCATCGCCGACAATATCGAGGAAATCGAGGAGGAATACCTGGTACTTCGTGACTTGTCCAAACATCCCAACATTCCGGACTTTTCCGGACTGTTTCTGAAACGTGGTGCCACCGTCGAAGATGACCAGCTGTGGTTCGTGCTGGAGGTAAGTTGTTGCCCGATTTGACAAAACGATCAACGCGCGTTGACTTCCATTATCCAGGTTTGACACACATCGCAATGTTTATATTTAATGTACACACACGTAGAAAGTTGATTGTGAATTCACCGTGCTAAATAGGTTGTGTAGATGATTTGGCTGGATGGGGCCTTTTAACGGGTCGTTGACTTTGGCTTGTACCTGAAGAGCACTAATTGTCCATTCAGTCAGTTTTAGGCGATTCAGAGCTTGTCCATATTTTTCGTGTTTTGTTTGAATCACGGATGAAAAATGGTAAATGAAACCTACAGTAGCGAGCAAAATTCAGTAGAGAAATTGTTTGGTCTGGTGTTTTTTTCTGTTCGAATTTTTTTGTTTTTCCTGGTTAGTCAGCTTCAAAATATGAGTGTTTTGTGGCGAGTAACATAGATAAATATTTGGATTATTTAATAAACTCCCTAATACTGACTTTATAGAGCTCAAAAGACGTTTGAAAAGCTTTAAATTCGTGGAATTCTACGGATATTTCACATATTTTAAAGCCGAATATTTCCTGCAAAACCTTCAATTCAAGCGTGAAAGCCATAAGCAAATTTATTTAGTTGAAATTCTGGAGTAAAAATTCAAGGTATAAGCTTTATAAGTTGAATTTATTTGTTTCTGATTCAACTGAATTTGTAGCCAAAAGCACTGCAATTTTGGGGAAATATGTTGTTTTCTGTATGAACATAACATTCTCAATTGAAATCAATAAAAGTATTACTCGTGTTACTTATCGTTACCCAACAAACAATGTAAGCTCTTAATCAACACACATTGTTTGTTGTGTATTGCTCGAATTATTGAATGTTCATTAAATTTGAAGTATATTTTAAGACAAATTTTGAATAAATAGCCATATTTGAGATAAAATCTCAACATTATTACATTACCCTCTGGAATACTAAGTATATAATTGCTGGCATATTATGATGCTTTTCGGTAAGCTATTCTGTTCAACCAAACAAATTTTTCAACTAACTTTTTGAACGGTACTGTACGCGCAACGTGACGCAGCATTTACAATTGGACTTTCATTCGTCGCTGTTGGTCCACCTATTGCATATTCAGCATCAGAGCAGTTTGACCATGAACTTGTGCTGCGTCGGAGCTCTCGGCAAATTTGGCGTGGGCGCACTTTTTGGGGACCGTAGAAACTAGTAATTAAGTTGTACGGGAGAGCAAATGGCTTTTTATCTGTAATTTCGTTTCCCTCTAATTGCGATGGCGAATGGGTTGGTTTCGATGCTTACAGATTTGTTATTATGGTGGGATGTTTTATATTTTTTTTTTCAGTTGATGAAGCTATTGTTAATGCATTTTGTTTTGTGTGTTGGGCAGATCTCGCTGTATGAAGTATGATGCTATACTAATTGTCGATAGCCATGCAAAGCTACCGCAGTAAAAGTAGCTAAGCAAAACGTACAAATTCATCGCTACTGGTGAACATCGTATGCTTTCGTTCAGGGTTTAAAGTTTAACCTCGACTCATCGATCATCTGGTGGAGATTTTACAGATGGCTATCAAAGAATTATCGTGAACAGGGTTGAAGTAAAGATGAGCTTTTTCTTTTTTTTTCCTGTGTAGACATTCGTTCATACAATCATTTGAAACTCGCAAACACCCGTTCCTCCACAGGATTTATAGACAGCCCATTTTCTCAAGATTTTAGGATTTGCGACGACCAGTGTAAATACCAGTAACTCAAATAATTGCAAGCTTCTGAATCATTATAATTTGAATTTGGGGGAAGAACCCAATTTTAAACCCACTGGACAAAAATTGAGTCCTGAAGGTCCCGACTATAAAGCATTTCAAACCCCTCCAATGTTACCTAAACTGTTTTGAAATTCGTAGAGTTTCTTTAAAGTAGGAAATGTGAGGTAATTATGGCCCTTGTGGCTCTCCTAATGGGCCAAACGGCTTAAATTAAGTTCAAAATAAGGTTTCCGCTATTCTGCAAAATTAGCATTGAGAACAACATTTAGTCTAACGTCCTTTGGAAGAAATTTTGATGTTTATGTAAATTTCAAGGTTTTAGACAGTATGGTGAATTAGAGAACTGCTACTGTAATAACTGGTACACTTCCTGCAATAAATCTCCTAGGTTCGCTGTAATTCTCTGTAGTCTGTCGAACTTCATCCGAGCTTAACAACTTCCCCATTTAATCAGCTCCTGATCATCTCAGAAGCTATCTACATTGTACAGAACTTTGTATGATCCTTGAATTTCTCATAAGGTCAGTGGATTGCAGAGATGCTCAGCAGAGCTCACATAAGCTCATGGATAGTCATTGAAGTTATGGGAACCTTAGGAAGATTAATGGAGCCCCTCAGAAAAGGCTCTTGACAGTGCCTTATTTACAGTCATAAATGCTGAAACGTTGGGATGAATAACAAACGTGTCTCTCTGATTCCAGTTGACTGATAAGCCCTCAATATCAACTCCACTAGCCTAGGAGAATTTATGAGCTCAGAAACAGACGTTCCTGGTATCTTTAAAGATACTCAGGAAAACTTTTGAGGCGTTCTGGATCCCTAATGGACCATGCATTAAGTACGTCACATCAAATGGAGAAAACATTTAAACCACCAGCCCCCTCCCTTTCCCCACTGAGTTATGTTTTGCCTCTTACCTTAGAAGCATTGCAAGTTATATCGAGATTTTAAAGCATTCTGTTCTGTAGACCATGATTTAGACCTGTGGAATGCTTTAAAACCTTTATGAAACTTGCAAAATGTTGCTTGGGACAGCTTGTCACGGAACTCCTTTTGCCTTAATAAATTGACGTGTGACGTACTTAAAAAATTGATCCTAAAAGAAATGCAGGGTAATGTAAACAAGTTTGTAGAACTTCATAAAATTAAATTAAAGAAACTTTAGAATAATCCGGGAGGACATCAGGGAACCTTCAGATGAGTTTAGAATATTCCTTCCTTACGCATTGTACGTTTATTTTTAAATGTATCCCTCCAAAATAAGTGTCAAATCAGAAAACTTGTAAAATCTTTGAACGCCGTTTTCTCATTTCCAGATTTAACAGATGGGACTGTTTTGCGATTATGGGCAGTACATTTATAAAAAAAATCCAATATTGGCCAATGTCCACCGAAAATAAATAAAACTACCTTATGACTTAAAGTGCAATGAATGAGCGTTAGTTTCGGTTTTGATCCGTAATCAGCCCTACCAGCCGTCCAACATTAGTTGTAGGCAGTGGTTTTTTTTTACTTTTTATTTGTTCCAAATTCAAAATAAATTACATTTCATTGTAACCTATGTGCTTCAGTTACTACAGAAAATTACCAGCCCTAATTGTTATGATATATATCTAAGTGTTTTTACATTGTTCCTGCCTAGGCAATTCTGTATTTTAAAAACCCAAATTGATCCACCGGGCAGGTGTATAGAACCTTTGTTACACAGTATAATCTCGTTTTTGATATTATCCATAGATATACGAGGCCTTAGAGGATATTTTTATTTTTACTGGTCTCAGTTTCTGCACTGCTCAATTGAACAGCAATTATTATTCAAAAATCAATTGATTAATGTCCTCACGTTAATTTTTTAACATGACAATAATTTTAAGATTTAATTGTGGCTTATCTATGAGGAGCTGATATGAGTTTTACGTAGTGCAAAGTATATATAAATCACTTTCTTCTTCTTGGCTTACAACTGGAGCTTTATTACTTTATACTTAATCTGCTTTATTGTGCTCTACATACTTTAAGCACAATCTTATTATATACAATATATACCAATAAAGTTAAATAATCAATCAGTCTGATTCTCTTAATCGATATTCTCTTTCGCGAATAATCCGAGTGCAATTGAATTTCCCATTCAGTGTGTTGATTTAGGCGCAAGCTAACTATAGTCGCTATATTTATTGTCTGGCGGATAGAATTTCAATCTATCAAAAAGCGGTACAAATTCAATATATTGTAGACCAACAATTGAAATGGTACTATCAAGTTTTATAAACAAACCGTTGATTATTCTTTCTTCGCCAATCGAACGCAAATTACCGGCATCATCGGATAGAGGAAATTTTCCCCAAAGATGGTGTTAGTTTGCGTAGGCAAGCCTTAAGTCACGAGAAAACGGGTTCCGAAAGTTGTGTTCGCAATATCTGATGTGCTCTTTTCTGTTGTTGGTCGTGATTTGACTGCTCAATTGGCCAAACAGCTATTTCACAGCTCAATTGGTTCGTGCTCAATTGGTCAAACAACGTCACCCCCAATAGACGAGTGCACAGATGGATTTGAGTTCACTCACTGGATAAAAAGTGACACAACAGCGAGGCCCTGTTTTCTTAAAATGAACACATGAAGAATACTCGCATAACATTTGAGACGGGCCTATCAACTTTTGTACACAAAACTTGTTAAGCCCTTTTCGCGTGAACCGAACACGTCTACGCTAACTTACAACACCATCGGGTAGGGTGTACATCGGTTTTTGTGAAAAGGGCCTACACTAATAAAAATTCAATGCGAATTTTTATGTGTCCCACACATGAATTTTTGCAATGTGATAAACAAATGATATATATCTATATATGTCGGACACATAGTTCTTATGTGTACACTTAAAATTCATGTGTAACCACACATACTATTCATTTGACTCATAAATATCATGTGTACTTTTGGGTGGATTCTGTTTATGTGTGGACACATGAAAATGATGTGATATTTTACATGAAAAATTACCAATAAAAATGTGTCGATCTTTAACAGTGTAGCAAATTGTTTACAAAAGTTGATAACTCCTGTTCAAATGTTACGCGAGCATTATTCCGGTATTCATTTACAGTAAACAGGGTCGTGCTGTAATGTCAATTTTTTTCAGCAGATTAACATAGGTTTACCCGTGAACTCGGCAGGAGCTGATCGATGAGAGATTCACGATGTACCAGTTCTAATAGCGATTTTTAAGAATGAGGGTGATATATAG